CATGATTAAAAATGAGTATCTCCATGAGGGTGAAAAAGGTATTTGGCTTGGCCAGATGTTAGTGAAAGAACTTGAAATTGAAGTAAAAACTGCATATAGTATATTGATTATGTGTTTAAGCTTCCTTGTTCACTTTGTTTCTCTCCTAGACAGGCAGGGCTATCAAGGAATGAATATACACATAATGTCTTCTGTTCCTTTCTTGGGACTTCAAAAGTGGGTCTCATTTTCTTACTTGGGGACTAAATCTCAAAGGACAATTATCAGTGGACTTTTGTTAATCTAGCAGTTGTCCGTAATGTCCCACAGGGTCTGATTATGGGACTCAGTAGGGTTAATGTATTTATTGATGATATGGATAAAGAAATCAAGAATGAGTTCATCAAATTTGAGGTTGATGTTTAATGTTAGGAGGGGTTGCATATACTCTAAAAGACAGAAGTAAAATTCACAATTCAGAATGATCTAGATAAGTTGCTAGGGAAATGCCCTTAAAAAAAGATGATGAGACTCTGTAGAACTGAGCTTTGGTGTATGTATGATCAAAAAAAAAAAGTACAAATAAAGTACTGGAAAACCTGTTGAGAAATAGGAATGTAAAAGAGACAAAATTATGCACAACATAGTTTAATAGAAACTGAATATAAATAAGCAATATTACTCGACTGTGTATGTAGGTAGAGTTAGTATATGAAGAACGAATGATAACAAGACAGTATGAAAAGGATAATGACTAACAAAGGCTGGTTAGTACTCCTTACTAAAACGTTTTATTTTGTTTTCAATCACTACCTATCAAAAGATGTAAATGAACTGGAGAAGGGCTTGAGAAAAGCAACAAAACTGATCAAATCAGTCAACAATCATTTGTTAAATACCAATACTGTGCCAGGAATTATTCCAGGCACTGGGGACAAAAATATGAAAGTGAGCCAGTTGTTGTCCTTAAAGACCTTACATTCAACTGGTTGGATGCATGTTCACAGTTAAATTTATTCAAATACAAAATTAATAGTGATTTGTTGTGGAGAGGATGGCATGGATGAACGCTAACAAGTTGGGGGATGAGCTGAGTCTTGAATGGATCCAGAGGCAGAGGTGAAGAGGCAGGGCACTCCAGGCATGGAGAACAATGGCCTGTGCAAAAATATGGAGATGGGAGATGGGATGTGTAATATAGGGAGAAGCAGGTAGGTCATTTTGGCTGGAGCATAGAGTGCATCATAGAAAGAAATGTCTAATCATCACAGAAAGTAATGAAAATATAATATACTAGTATTACTACTCCTATTTTTACGTGAATTCTAATGTATAAAAACATTCCCTCAGTGGAGTGCTCACTAGGTAGAAGAGGACCCAGGAAGGTTAAATTGACTTGTGTTGATAAGTCTTGACATGTACTTTAATTTTGTCATCCAGTATTGATTGGTCAAATCTAATCAGAGAACTGATTTGCTGCAATACTTCAAAGCTCTTCACGAACTGGTGCGGCTTCAAAGCTATATTCACTTGATGGGTCACAGCTCCTCCTGACTTATTATGCAGAATTGTAGTGTACTACAAAGATTTTATGTTTCTGAAACTATCTAAAATAGTGGCCAATGTTTTTCCTCCAATTAGTTCATTTTAACTTGTAATGACAGCCATGCTCAGATTTGCCATTCTTGGTTCCATGGGAACTGCATGGGAACATTCAGGCCTGCTTTTGGCTGCAGGTCACTCATTCATTGCTGAAGGCCTTGAACTATGAGATTATAAGAAGTCCCCTTATTGTCTGGGGGAGTGAAGAGCTGAAGATTCAATGGATGGATGGACAAAAGGGAACTGGACACTCCCCAATCTCTTTTCTTTTATAGTTGTAAATGTCATATGAATATATTGCTAGAGTGGTAAGAGATGGACCACTTGCCCTCCTTATGTCCAACCACCATGTGGCAGGAAGCCAAGGCAGCTAAAAAACATATCCCTCCCAGGTAAGCCTAAGCTTGGATTTGGGTTGCCTGTCTTTTGTGTTTATTCTTTCTTGATCTTAGGCAAATTAGTACCAATCCTGAGGTATGTCCAAGATTGGAGGCAAACTTGTCAGATCAAAAGTTCTAGAGGTCCACAATCTATCTTATCATGTACCTAACTGGTAGCAAGGAAAGTTTTGGAAAGGATGGGATCAAGCCAGGCCCATTTTACAGTCATCCTTTTATATTAAGCATTTCTTCATTTTTATGAATAAACTATCTGTCTCACACCTGAATCATTGTGCAGTGGGCTTTGTCAAATTTTAAGAATACACATAAAGGCAAAAGCATGATCCTTGCCTTCAGGGTGCTCACATTCTAAAGGAAGTCATTTTCTAATATAAATCATTAAGTACATAGAGTGTATATAAATGGAAGACAAACTCATGGTACAGATTATTCTGCTACCTACAAAGGGATTGAATTTGTTCAGATTTTCTTGAGAAGGAGTAATGAATTTAGCATGATTTTCCAGGGTGAGGTAGATAGCCTCATAGAGTTTGTGATTAGGACTACATGCTAGCCACCAATACTCAAGGTGAGTTTTCAGCAAGGTTATCATCAATGGAAATGAACTGAGGTGTGTCCAGAATTGGCCCATGAGGGACCACATTGGGTATGTAGGTCAAAATGTTCAAATCTGGTCAAATTCTTTTCAGTGAATTATATTTTCTCTCATGGTAAGTTCTATGTGAGCATGTCTTGTTTATTTTACATCTTCAATACCTAGAAGAATACAGCTTCTAAATAATGTTGTTTGAATATACAGTAAATTGAAGAAGCAAGGAAAGGTGTAATACACTTGAGGGAAAATTATATCAAAATTATCAAAAACTAACACAAATTTCAGTGTTTAAAAATATAAATCTCATTTATCCAAAATATTTTCTTGTATAGAATGATTCCAATAGTAATGCTGAACAATTGAGATGTGACTTAATTTACATTCTCTAGTCACAAATTCTGAATTGGTCAAAACTGTGTATCAGCACAATACATGGAAACAAGGTTACATTGAATTTTGTTTTTACTGAAAACCAATATAATGATCACAGAGTCTTTCCAGAGTATATGGAGTCAGAACACTTGGGTTAAAATCTCCAGTTTGCTGTTTAACATATAAGTGATCTTGAGCATTCAGCACCATTCAGGTGTTGATTTACCTCATCTGGAAAATGAGGAAATGGGATGGACAATCTAATTCTAAGAATTCTAAGTCCTATGATTCTTTTATTAAATATACATATATATGACACATATACATATTATAAGTGTGTATATTAGATTAATAAACAAATTAATTATAGATAACAAATTTTGAACTTCATTATCACAAAAATAAGATTTTCTCTTATTTTTCTCTTAATTAAAAAAATCATAAATTTCACTTGGATTAGTAGATTGGATGTAATTGACCTAAAATGTTCTTTGTAGTTTAAATTAGATTTTAAAAATTAGCTCATATCTCTATTTCTCTTTGTTTGGGTGCACATGAGTATACTAGACTTTTAGATTTGATAATGTGAACTATAATTAATGTTCCAAAAAAAAAAGAGTTTGGGGTTTTGTGGTTTTTGTCTGCTAATAAATTTTCTTCAAAACCATATATCATTTATATCACTCAGAAAACAATATAATGTTACTAAAATTTCAAACTGAGATTCACTGAGCTTGGGTAAAAACAATTTTCGTTTTTAGTGCACATGTTCTGGATATAGTGATAGGTTTTCTTTCCATCTTGTCTTGGGTTGTAAGCTTCAAGAAGACAGAGATTGAGTGTAACTAACTTTTTACAGTACCTACACCAAATCAGCAAACACAGAGAAATTTAATGAGTTATCACTGCTGCTGCCAAGTTTAGCATAACATCACATGCTACTGTTACTTTCATCGTACTTAGACAACCACTAAGCTGGAAGGATATTTGGAAGGAACATCATTAGTGTCTCTGGTAAGGCTACAATTTTACAGTAGGCATGAAATGCAGAATAAAGTTGGAAGATTTGGATGAAGCTGTCATAGAAACAAAGAAAAAACTCAAATATACTTCCATATTTTTAGCTAAACTTTAAACATATAAATGAAACTATCAAGATGAATGTCAGAGGATCATACACTCATATGATATACTACAGAAAAAAAGTATAGAGCATATGCTCATAGACTGTTGCTCTAAAGAAGATAGAGACACAATATAAAAGATTGAAAAATAAAATAAAGTCATATCTCACCCATTAAAAGACCCACATGCTCTAAGGTCTAGGATATAAGAGAGCAACAGATAAAGATTATGTGATAATTATCAAAAGACCTACCAGAGAATTTAGAATTTGATAATTTTATAGTTACTGACTCTCTCCACTTAAGTGAGAATACAAACTTCACATATACTTTTTGTCCAGGTCTTCATAATAACATTTTTCTCCAATGAAATGAATGATCACCTTTTTGATTAAATCAATCAAAACAATTATTTGCTATGACATTTTATAGACATATGCATATAGAGTAGTAGTAGTCAATGTCTTCACCAGGTAAACTAAATTCAATATCCCAAAGACTTAACTATGTTGACAATTTGAGTTATACTCTTTATTGCCTTGTATCTCAAAAGTCTCTCTGTTATTATGTAAGCACTAGGAATAACAAATAATTGAAAATAGAACAAGTTTTATTTTACCTGACAAAAAATTGCAAAGAGGTTGACACCAGAGCTATGGAGTCAAGACTATTCCCTTTCCCTCTTTAGAGAGTCTTGACCTTCTCTGGAAACTAAATTAGTCCTCCAGATTAATAGTACTATTCTAAGTTAGGCCCTCCCAAAAGAGGAAAAAATAGCCCATTTAATCTTAATACAAGATATATAACAAAAAACTTTTTTGTTACTTAGTACAATTAATTTTCCGTCTGTAAGCCACTAAATATCTTTGTGTGCAACATATGAAAACACATCTATTTTGGCATGTATTTTAAAAGTCAAGTACTTACCTTAGCTATCTGGACACACCAGTTAAGTAGGAGTTGGGAGCCAATGTTATCTTTATGTTCATGAACATAATCCAATAGGCAGCCATGGGGCATTAGTTGAGTAACCAACTGAATGGTCGGGCTCAGACAGACACCCAATAATCGTACCAAGTGTGGGTGATCCATACTTGCCATGATCAAAGCTTCCTATAAAAATAAACACAATGCCATCATATCAGCTAACTATTAAATTGTTAATTAGATTATTAACTAGATATTATTAAGGTCAAAATTATTTATACTACTCCAATAATTTTATATTCTATAATTCCCACTCAATACATAACAGGACAGAACTTAAGATGTTGGTATAATAATTTAAAGATAAAATTTAAGTTAAGAAAATTGAGATTAGCATTATCATATTTATAATTAACTAATATGGAGTATATGAGTAATAATAGACTTACAAGGCAATTATAGATATCCAAAAGAGCTTCACAGCAATTACAGTTATATAAAAGTATAATGAAATGCCACTGGAGGCAGTAGGTTTTTTCCTGTTTCACTAGAAGACAAGATGACCCCTTACAGAGAATTTTGTCATGAGGATTTTGGAATAAGCACAGATTGGGGTTGCCTTCTCAGGTCTCTGACAAGTCTGAGATTCTGTGATTCTGCCATTTTGAAGAGTTAGCACTCTCTCCTCATCCTTACTGAACAATTTTAAGGATCCTATCTTCACTAAGTCAGTCAAAACTACATTCTGAATCAGAGAGTAAATGCTACAGGTTTGGATCTTTATTTCTAGTATGGAAATGGTTTATGAAAATATGACCACTTGCAAATTCAATAGAAGGGCCTGTATCATACATCATTTGGGGTCAGCATATGTCCTGAGGTAACTTTTACTTCTTGTAAATACAGTGTGGTCCAATAATCTTAGTGTAGTCCTAAACTATCAAAGCAGACAAATGACTCCTTTTGTCTTCAGGGAGGAGGCTGACCCAGTTTTTCTAGTGAAAAGTTTATCTCTTTATGTTATTCTTATATTTCCTTTACACACATAAAGACTGTAGTAAATACATTTATCTAAAAAAAAATTAACTAATGCCAAAAACAAATCCACAAATTTAATTAAATGTATTTTGATACCCTTCAGTGGTTCCTTTCTACCAAAGTCTTCCAATGACCCAGTGTGCCATGACAGTGAGTTCTTAAAAGTCAATGAGCCTCTAGCATGTTCTTCCCAACAAATAGGCCTGGCAAGTCACTGAGTCCTTTATGAAACTGATGATCTGCCAACTCAGCTTTCCATCTTCAGCTCAGTTAGGTTTCTACTCCAGGGAACAAGATAAGGCTCCCAGGATAAACTGATCACTTCTAATATCAACACCATGCCTATTGACTCAGTTTTGCATATTCAACACCTTTCCAAATCCCTTAGTCCCTTCTCCCCTCTGATTGGAGGGTAGCACGCACTCAATTTCACCCCAAGCTTTCCTTTACCAAGGACAGAAATTAGACTTCTAGCTCACTCCACTTCGAATCTTTAGCTCTGTTTGGTTTCAATTTCAGGGAACAAGACTCCAACATGCTCCCACCTCTGCTTTCCAATTTCTTTTGGTGTATTGTCTTGCCTCATTAGATCGTAATGTCCTTGAGGGGCACGGACTCTTTCCTTTTCTTTTTGTATCCCCAACTGTTAGCATAGTACCTGGCACATAGTAGTTTCCTAATAAATATTTACTGAATTGAATTGAATAGAGAATGAATCTATGATTTCATTAATATAGTGAAGTCCCAGATGAGGAAATTCCCTCTACCAATGTAGGTTGTTATTTTTCTGAAATTTATATTCAAAAAAGAAGGGGAAGAGAAGAGAAGAGGAGGAGGGGGAAGACAAAGAGAAGGAAAAGGAAGAAAATGAGAACTATAGAGAGTTGCCTGGGCTACTAATGGGTTAAGAGATTTATATTGGGTCACATAGTATTGTCAGTAGTAGGTTTCAGACCTAGATATTTCTGACATACTATGCTATGCTGACTGTACTTCAATGACAGAATGTGATTAAAAGTCTTTCTAAGACCTTTCTATTATACTTGGAGATCAAATGACAATTTTGAATGTTTATGCCCTCCCCCTTTTTGGAGGAAGCTTTTCTACTTATACAAAGGAAAAAGAAAAGTAAAATAAGAGTTTGATTCTTTCAGAAAAAAATGACAGAACTGTAAGGTCTAGAGAGACAGGATGGCATCGGTTGGTTGGTTGTTGTTCTTCATTCTCAAAGAGAACCAAAACAACATCACTAAAGTCAGGTTACAGTGTGTTGAACTGTGGCTGATTAGACTAATATGAACTCAGACTATTGTACCATAGGTCGAGCACAAATAGTCCATGTGAATACTTGGGGTGGATTCTCTAAATCTGTCCATCTCAAGTTTCGTTTGAGCTACTTCGATTCTACTTTACTCATAGAGCACAGCACCTTCTCTGATGTGAGCATGCCATGCCAAGTAGTCCTGTGCCAGTGTCTTCCATGTCACAGAATCAATTCCAAAGTTCTTAAGAGAGACCTCAAGCATGTCCTGGTATCGCTTCTGACCACCATGTGAATGGTTGCCCTGTGTGAGTTCTCCATAAAATAGCCTTTTTGGCAAGCATATATTTTGCATTCGAACAACATGGCCAGCCCATCAGAGTCATGTTCTCTGAAGTAGACTTTGAATGGTAGGCAGTTTAGTTAGAGAAAGGCAGGATAGCAAATGTACAAATGATTTGCCTTAGAATCAGAAAGAAGACCTGAGTTCATGTCTTACTCTGGATAAATATTAGCTATATCAGTAAACCACTCAGAGTGCAGGCAACTGTAAGTTATAGATGAGTTTCTATACCAGGTGTTCCCTATAGAGATGTAATTACAAATTAAGATAAAAACATTATGTAAAATCTAAATTTTAGACAAATGTCAGTTATAACAAAGTAATACTCTGTATGAGTTATTGCTCTCTCTTTATAAATATGAGAACACTTAAAGTATGTACATTAACATATGTTACTTCTAGCTTGGATTTTTCTACTTTGTGTTTTAGTAATTATTTGAAACAAAAAAAATGGTAATTGAAAGCTGGCAGTTAATAGGGCATAATGCAAGCAGAAAAAGGAATAGTCTTCATGAAATTCCTGTTAGTTTATGCTAACATTCATTATTTGAGAATGTGACCACAAATACAAATCAGTGATAAAATACACTCAACTGTATTCTGCACACCCAAACAAATATTTTTTTTATAGCCATAGATGTTTGTCAGACTTCTGCTTGGATAAAATTCCCACTTATAATGGTCATATTCCATCTGTTTCCCTAGTGCTTTGAGGTCCCTAGAAGTATAAATTTCTCTATAATTCATAGAAAAAGTATCATGATTCATCACTCTATAGGAAAGCTAAGGCTCAGTGATGGCTTACCTACAGGAATGGCATCAATCATTTTTATATTAAAATTTCAGTTTCATCAGCACTCAGTGCTATGGAAATGTGATTCTGTTAACAAGAATTCAGCACCAACCCTCTGACAGCCAACGGCTGAATGAATCAGGTTGTGTTGTCTATCAGGTGCTTAGGAGCCACTAAAACCCAACAACAAAACTTTGCTCACAGGTAAACTGCCATTGCCCCTGACATCCTTTCAGGGGCATCAAAGGAAAACATTTCTCTCTGACTTACTAAGCTTAGAGTTTTGTTGAGATGATCTTTTCTGAGGCAGAGGGAGAAATTGAGAGTGAGGTGAAAAAGGCTATTCTGAAACTATTTTGGCTTGTTCTTACAGAATAAAATAACTATATTTCTTACTTTAAGACTGATGAGACAGATAATTCCACTCTAAATACTCATTTGGAAAAGTTTGTATTGGAGGAATAAGAAAAAAGTCTCATGGAAGTTCTTAAAAATATCTATTAGAAAGTCCTGGCAAAGGGACTGGATTTGTATTAAAGAAAATTGCTCATCACACTACAAAGAGTATTTGAAACCAAATTGCAGAGTATTTGCATAATAGTTCTCTTTTTTGAGAAAGAAAAGATGAACAAGACACTAATTGTAGGTTTTATTTTTTCATAAAGGAAATAGCAGATGGCCACAATTTGTGTGTGTGTGTATGTGTGTGTGTGTGTGTGTGTGTGTGTGTGTGTGTGTGTATGTATGTATGTATGTGTGGCAGGGCACGTAAAGAAAAAAAGCAATGCAGATTCATTCAGTCAGATGAGTGGGGTAGAGAAGAGAAGGAAAAAAGTCTAATGTTTTAAGTGAGGGAAATTTAGTTTCAGTAAATTCCTGCATGTTAAAATTAATACACTGCTCTGTTTCCTAACTCTATAAAGGGTCTCATAGATGCAATTTTAGATTCTTTTCTGCTGTCATCAGAAAATGTCACTGAGGGCCAGTAGAATAAATACATGTTGACAGGTGTATTATCCATTTCCTGGAGACAATATTCCTTTCTCTCTCTCTCTCTTTCTTATTTTATAATTCCTCTTAGAGTTCAATTAAAGATTTTTTTTATCATTGGTGGTAAAGGAAGTTGAGGGATAAAGTAACATCTACTTCACACACACAAAAAAACTGTAAAATAAGATGATTTTTCTTCATTATGAGCACTAGTAAGGAGAAGGACATTTTTTTAAACTATCAAGGGACCACAAGGGCATAGATAAAAAGCTTTGAAGCATGTGTCCCATTAATCTCTGGCCATATGCTATTTATATCTCTATTTCAGTCTGAAGAGAAGACACTTCTGTACAATACTAAAGGTAAGCAATGCCGTCTGTCACATTCAGGTATCATTTTGTCAAAGTTTATATCTCATCCACTTAAGCTTGTTTTTTTTTCCCCACCACATATGGACAGTGCCTCCTCCCAAATAATATACAGTAAAATCTTATGGGCTTTTCTGTAAAAAACAAACAAACAAAAAAAAAAACTATACCCTTGTTGGTAACATTTTAACCATGCTTCATTATGTCTATGGACTATTAATCTGATATCTACCAGTTTATAATGAGAAGAAATCAGATTGGATTGGAGATAGAAGGAAGAAAAATAAAGAGGGAGAAGGGAAGAGGGAAAACAGACAATATAGCCTCACAAAATGCTGAGTATCTGACATAAATTCTATTGCTTTAGATACTGCTGAAAAAGGTTAGAAAGAT